GTTGAGTTGGACCTGACTCATAGTGACCCTTCCTTCAGTTTCTAAGGCAGTATCACTACGGAAGTAGATTGCCCCATCTTCCTTCTGAGGAGTGGCTAGTGGGTTTGGACCGCCAACCTTCTGGTTAGTAGTCAAGTGCCTTAGGCACTACCCTACCAGAACTCTCATTAGCCATTAGAGAGATGCAAAACAACAATGAGATACCATCTTGCCCCAGCACTGATAGCGAAAAGTTCAACAAGACAGAAAATAACAAATGTTGGTGAGGATGTGGAGAGATGAGGACTCTCATACACTGCTGGTGGAACTGTAAAATTATACAACCGCTGTGGAAAGCAGTATGGCAATTCCTTGAAAAGTTGGAATTGGAAATACCATTTGACTGTATATATCCTAAAAAAGTGAGAGGCAGGAAAAGAACAGATATATGCACACCCATGTTCATCCCAGCACTATTTACAATAGCAAAAAGATGGAAACAACCTAGGTGCCCATCAACAGAAGAATGGATAACCAAACTATGGTGCATACACACAGTGGAATACTATGCAGCCCTGAAGAATAATGTAGAATCTACAGAGCACCACATAACATGGATGAACTTGGAGGACATTGTTGTTGTTAGGTGCCGTCGAGTCATTTCCGACTCATAGCGACCCCATGCACAGAAGAACGGAACACTGCCCGATCCTGCGCCAGCTCCACAATCCCTGCTATACTTGAGCCCATCATCGCAGCCACCGTGTCAATCCATCTCATCGAAGGCCTCCCCCTCTTTCGTCGACCCTCCACCCTACCAAGCATAACATCCTTCTCCAAGGAGTGGTCCCTTCTGACAACATGACCAAAATAGGTGAGACGAAGTCTGGCCATTCTTGCTTCCAAGGAGCATTCTGGCTGCACTTCCTCCAGGACAGATCTGTTAGTTCTTTTAGCAGTCCATGGTACTTTCAGCATTCTTCACCAGCACCACAACTCGAAAGCATCAACTCTTCTTCAGTCTTCTTTATTGTCCAGCTCTCACATGCATACGAGGTGACTAGAAATATCATGGCTTGTGTCAGGTGCACCTTAGTCCTCAAGGAGACATCCTTGCTCCTCAGCACTTGAAACAGTTCCTTCACGATTGACTTTCCCACTGCTACACGTCATCTATTGTCCTGACTGCTGCTTCCATTGGCATCAATTGTAGAACCAAGCAACGTGAATTCTTTGACAACCTCAATCTTCTCTCCATTATTGTGATGCTGCTCATTGGTCCGGTTGTGAGGATTTTTGTTTTCTTTATATTGAGACATAATCCATACTGTATTCTTCAACCTTTATTAGTAAGTGCCTCAAGTCATCCTCACTTTCAGCAAGCAAAGTTGTATCATCTGCATATCTCAGATTGTTAATGATTCTTCCTCCAATCCTGATGCTACGTTTTTCTTCATATAGTCCAGCTTCTCGGATTATTTGCTCAGCATGTAGATTGAATAAGTATGGGGAAAGGATACAACCCTGACATACTCCCTTCCTGTAGTGTCCCCTTGTTCCGTTCAAACAACAGCCTCCTGGTCAAGGTACAGGTTCCTCATGAGTACAATCAAGTGTTCGGGATGGAGGACATTATGCTGAGTGAAATAAGTCAATCGCAGAAAGACAAATATTATATTAGTTCCTATTGTAAAAAGTCAAGGAAAGTTTATATATGGAAAGAAAATTTCTTTGATGTTTACTAGGGGTGGGAGAGGAGGGGAAAAAAACGCTACAAAAATTAAAGAATGAAAAAAGTTAAAAGGAAAAAAAAAGTGAAATCTTTGTTCTTCAACTTTTTAAAGAGGTCTTTTGCATCATATTTTCCAGTGCAATACGTCTGATTTGTATGTTAGTTACTTTAGATACTTCTATATCTGCATTGGTTTCTGGGTGATAATGTGTTCATCTCAAGTTATTGTATACTCTTGTAGGTTCTCTCTCTGCAAGACTCTTTTCAGTTTGTCTTGTAATATTGTTCTGGTTTTCACAAATTTCTGTTCGTCTGGAAATATCTTAATTTTGCTGTCATATTTGAGGGACAACTTTGCTGAGTATATAATTCTTGGCTGATAGTTTTTTTTTTTTTCATTGTTTTATATATGTAATCCCAATGCCCTCTTGCCTGCATGGTTTCTGCTGAGAAATCAGAGCTTAGTCTTATTGGTTGCCCTTTGTAGGTAACTTCATTTTTCCTGTGCTGCTTTCAGGATTCTTTCTTTCTGTTTGGTTTTGGACAGTTTGATTATATGTCTTGGTAATTTTCTTTTAGTGTCTATACTATCTGGAGTTCATTGAACTTCTTAAATCCATATCTTCTTCCTTCAACTCTTATGGAAGAGATCTTCAACAATTTTTTGTGTGGTTTTACATGTCTTTTTCTGTTCTGCAGTTCTGCTCAAACATAAGTTATTCCTCTTGATGGTATCTGTGATAGTTAAGGTTGTGTGTCAACTTGGCTGAGCCTTGATTCTAAATTGTTTACCAGTTATGTTCTAGTTATTCCCCAGGATGAGATCTGATATAATGTAATTACTTCTATGATGAGATTTGTTCTGAACAGTCAACCAGTTGAAAGGGTGTTTACACAAGGGATTTCTTCCAATATATATTGAAAAAGTCTGGAAAAGGTCTCTGGCTTTTGCTCAAGATCTTGCATCTGGCTCATCATCATCTGGACTTGAACCAGTGGTCTGCCGTATTGCCTGCCAGTCTTGGGATTGTTCCCTCCTCAAGCCTGTGAACCACCAGCCTGCCATTTTACCTGCTGATCTTGGATTCACCAGCCTCCAAAGCCAGCAGCCTGCTGTATTGCCTGTGATCTTGCGTTTGTCAGCTCCTGCAGCTGTGTAAGTCAGCAGAAGCCTCCAGCTTGATATTTGACCCATGGACTTTGGACTTGCTATCCTCTACAACTGTGTGAGACATTTTCTTTAGAGAAATTTTTCTGTACCTCTCTATATATAAGCTTCACTAGGTTTTGCTTGTCTAGAGAACCCAGCTGTCTTAGTTCTCTAGTGCTACTATAACAAATATCACAAGTGGATGGCTTCAACAAACAAAAATTTGTTCTCTTCCAGATTAGGGGGTAGAAGTTCAAATCCAGAATGTCAGCTCTAGGGGGAGACTAGGCTGGAAATCCAAGTCCAGAGTCCCAACTCTAGGCACTGTATGGAGGCCCCTCGATCTTGAGCTTCATTGCTGCCTGCTGAGGCTGACAAATTCAAGATCAGCAGGTAAAATGGCCAATAGTTAACTCACATCCTACAAAAGCAACAATCCCAAGATGGGCAGGCAACACAATAGGCCACTGGTTCAAGCCCAGGAACTGGAAATGAAGACTCAACCAAGTGTAGGATCCTTTCTATATATACTAGTAGCAGGCCACACCCTGAAGGCAAGTCTCCTTCAACTGATTAACTGTGCATAGCAGATTCCACCATGGAGATGATTTCACCAGGTCAAATCTGGTCATGGGGAACCCAGCTGCCAAGCCATTCAGAATCATGGCCCACCCAAGTTGACACACAACTTTAACTATCACACCAGCCTAAGACAGTTCACCACATAAATATTAGCGTTTCTTCATTTTTGTTGTTGTTGTTGTTATTCTTTTTTTTTCTGATTTATCCCTTAACAAAGTACTATTGAGAGATTTGTCTTCAATATCACTAATTTTGTCTTCCATTGATTCAGTTCTACTTCTTTGCCCTTTCAATTTATTATCTATTTCTGAAATCTTAGTATTAATCTTCAAGATTTGTATTTGCTGTTTTTTGTATGATTTGTTTCTCAACCCATTGAAGGTACCTAAATATAATTCTTTTAAATTGCTGATGAGGTAGTTCCAGTGCCATTTCTTCCTCAGGGAGTCTTTCTGGCTGTGTATTTTGGTTTCTTGTTTGTACTACTTTATCTGGCTTCCTTGTATGAGCTGGGATTGTCAGCTGTCTCTGAGACATTGTGCTGTTGCTTTGTTTGTATTTAATTAGTGATTATATGCTGGTGTGATTTGCCCAAGGGTTTCTTTTTTTGCTCTATTTTGTTTTCAGTATAACTGAGTGAGGGGCTGGTGTGCTACTACACTCTAGTTTGTCAGCACTTAGGCACTCACCACGTGTTTCCCAGTGTGTGTAATAGAAGATGAGAATATGTGCACAGATCTCTGTTTGATGATTTTGTAGATTAGTTGAGGGTGGGTTAGGCTGGTATTGGCTGCCATCTATACTGGCCCTCACCCAGTAGGTAGGGTTGCAGGAAATGCAGATGTGGTTGAGTCATGTGGGCACAGTTGCTTTCTGGTTGCCAGCCACCAGTGTGGGTGTACATGCAGTCCTCAGCATGCAGAGCTGATTATCAGGTTGCTGCCCAATCAGAATGCTGCTTGGAAATATTTCAACTGGCCTTGCCATTAGGCCAGTCAACAGTCTACAGCTCTGTTTGTCTCCTGATTTGCTGTTTTTGTTCAGTTTCTTCTACTTGTTGGTATTTAATCCACTTCCTTTCAAAGCTGAGGGTTCTAGGATTATCATCTGTGTCTGTTTCAATTGGTTTCTTGTTTCTTTGTTGTAGAGGGTCTGGGTAGCTTGTCTGCCTATTCTGCTATCTTGCCAGAAGTTCCCTTAAAGTGTAAATTGTTATAACTTAAAAATATATTTATCTTCATTTCACAGATAAGGAAACTGATCATAGAGGCCACATGATTTGTCCAGGTTCACAAATCTTGCAGTGGGGCAGCAGGACTACAACTCAGTTCTGCCTGCTATTTCTTGATACTGTGTTCTTACCATTTCACCTCAAGATTTTTCCATAGGGTAAGATAATTAAGCTTTGGCTTATTTTAGGGGGTCATTAATATTAGGAAAGAGGATTAGGAGAGAATGGCTTGTTTACATAAACAATAAGGCTAAGTCCTGTGTGACCAAATTTGTCATTTGCCATCTTTCATTGTAAATGATTTTATGTTATTATCATGTTTCTAGAACAATACGTTGAAAAGATGTTACAGATCAAACAGGTGATGGATAGTGTGCTTGCCAAACAGAAGGCAGAAAGGGATGATCTGGCTAAAAAATACAGGTAAGTGAAGGAAAAATAAATAAATAAAGGAGTGATTTAGAGTTTTTTAGAATTTAGCATGCAATAAACAAAAAACAAAAATCCAAACTCACTGCCATCGAGTTGGTTCCGACCGATAACCCCTCCTTGGGTTTCCGAGGTAGTATCTCTAGAAGTAGATTGCCTAGTCTTCCTTCCAAGGAGTGGCTGGTGGTTTGAACCACCAGCCATCTGGTTAGCAGTCAAATGCCTTAGGCACTATGCCACTAGAGCTCCTTATAAACCGAATTAAAAAAAAGAACAAAAAAAATTCAGAAAAATTGTCTATAGCCAAGAATTTTTATGAGCTGATTAATTTAATTATGCTAATGCAATCATAAATTGCTTCTGCACCTCCCATATGATTCTGAGGATTATTTGTATTCTTAAGAAGTATAGGCCTAATACAAATAATCCTTAAAACCATATAGGAGGTCATAGAATTTTTTTCTATCTCCGTGGTGGATTATAGGTCCCATAAAGATATTTTTCTGCCTATTAGTTGAAATATTCAGAAAAAGACATTTTAATATTGTCTATAGTCAAGAGCTGATTAATTTAATGAGCTAATTCAATTTAAAATTAAACCAAATAGTATCTTTAATACATAAATAATACTAAATTTAAAAATAAGTTTTCTTCTGGTTTTGTAGTTATTTTCTGTTTGTGTTGCTTTCTGTAGGATGTCCATAGAGTCTTTTAAGCATGGAGCTCTGAGAGAACAACTGGCTAACTTGGCCACAAGACAGAAGAGCCTTTTAGTCGTGGCAAAAAAACAGAGAAATATAAGCCTGAAAATTCAAAACTATAAGAATGCTACATCACTGTCTGGACTTAGCTTGAAGAAGCTACCAGCTACCCCAGAATGCTCTAATGAAAAGGACAGCCAAAAGCTTACTAGCCTGGAAAAATCAGTACAGCTCAAATCAGGTTCACTTTCCCCTGCCACCCTTGTTTGTGGAAACATACAGGAAACACAATTGTCTCTGGGAACTTGCAGTACAGTTCAGAATGGCAGCCAAAAGACCAACATATGCCTTAATTCAGAGACAGGGAGAAAGGAAGAATTTTCTGGACCTGAGCAGAATTCCAAACAAAATGACAGTGACTATACCTTGGATAGGTCACCAAAATCTAGTCATTTAGATGGCACTGAAATTAACTTACCGTTACAACCCATGGCTTTTATTGCTCTAGCAGATTATTCACAGAAAGAAAATGATCTTATAAAAACTACAGCCAAAGAATGTGAATCCTGCAATCCTTCCTCAGCTCCTGGTGCAATAAATATTTCAGAAATCACAAGTGTACTTGCCCAAAAGGATCCCTATCCATCAGCTGTTACTTTTGACCAAGCTGTTTCCAGTTATGATCTAAAAAGAAGAAACAAGAAAACAGCTTCCCAGCAACCACCTAGGCCAGCCTCAGAATCCCTGACACATCACAGAACTGCTGTCGTAGGCAGTGATACTGAGCATCAGATGAAACCATATCTTAAAAAATCAGCTTCAGCTGTTCCATGTGCAGATGACAGTCAGAGCACCACCTCTCGGTCCTTCCATCAACGTACTATTACAAAGCCTTTAAATTACAACATAGCTCCTAAAAAGAAATATATGCAGATAAAAGATCTGATGTTATTAGGAAAAATTAATCCAGGAAATAACATTCTGGAATTCAAAACACAGGTACCCTTATTTTTTCTCTAACATCATGTAAATTTTGTAAGTGACTAGACATTTAGCTCTGCTTAGAGAAATGTAGTTTGGCTGGCCTTGCTGAATGGAGGGCATTCTCAGCAAGTGAAATCATGCTTCAGAATAGAACTAGTCAGTTTTAATGCAGAAGGAAGGACTTAAAAAACAACATAAAATAATAAATTGGAGGTATCTTTGATTCCAAAGTTTTAGGAACTACTAGTATATTGGTAAAGCATCCCCTAATAAAGGGATATGTATAAATTAATCTTCTGTAGAATCTCAATTTAGAACCAAGGGGTGACTTGGAGATTGGCTAAATAGGACTCAGTTAAAAATATCAAATTTGAATAAAAACTAAGGAGGAAGAAAAACTTCTACTAGAAACGCCTACAAAGGAGTCTTCCTCTTGTCTCTCCCTACATTTCACTTTTTAATTCAGAGTGGAAAAGACTGCAGAGTCCTCGAATACTTCTTTAGTTTTGAAGCAATCCGAGAGAAATCAATCCAGGCTAACTGTAATATAACTTGAATGACCTCTGCTTCCATTCCTTTCCATAAGAATACTTTCCTAGATTTTAAAAAAAAAACAGTCCAGTCAGTTGTGACTTGTGGCCACACCGTGTGTGCGCGCGTAACTGTGCTCCACAGGTTGTCAGGGCCTGCTTCTTCAGAAGCAGGTTGCTTGCCCTTTCCTTGGAGGTGCTTCGGGATGGACTGAAACTTCCATCCTTCAGGTTAGCAGCCATCTGCATCACTCAGCTTTACTTAGAGGTTAGGAATAAAATATTTTTAATTTTTAAGTTTCAAGCCATAGTTTTAAGACCAAATTAGTGCCTTGATCTGATCAGATCCCTGAGTGTTCCTGTTTACTCACCTGTCAACCAATTTATCTACCTCTTAGTACCCAATGCAACTGAAATTTTGGTTAGTAAATTAGTTACATTAACTCAGATTTTGATAGCTATGGTTATGGTTATGTTTCCAAATCAGCTGTAATAAAATTTTAATAGAATTTTTGTATTTTAACTATTTTTCTTCCTTTAACAGATCTATTGAGATATAATTAATGTATAATATATTGTATATATTTAAAGTGTACAATTTGGTAAGTTTTGACATATGTATACACCTGTGAAATAGTGACTACAAGCAAGATAATGAACATGTCCATCACCCCAAAAAGTTTCTTTGTGCCCTTTTATACACCTTCTATACATCTCTCCCTTCCCCTACTGATTCCTAGACAATTACTGATCTACTTTCTATCCCTATACATAACTTTACATTTCTAAAAATTTTGCATAAGTGGAATTATATCATCTGTACTCTTTGGGGGGGGGCGGGGGAGGTCTGGCTTCTTTCTCTCAGCATAATTATTTTAAGAGTCATCCTTATAGCATTTATCAGTGGTTTGTTCCCTCTTTCCTTGCAAGTAGTAGTCCCTTGTGTGTATGTACCAGTTTATCAGTTAATTCCTGATGGACATTTAGGTTGTTTCCAGTTGTTGGTCATTATAAATAAAGCTACTATGAACCTTGGTATACAAGTGTTAGTGTGACACGGACTTTCATTCCTCTTGTGTAAATACCTAGGAATGGAGTGGCTGGATCATATGGTAGGTGTATATCTAACTTTCTAAGAAATGGCCAAATGTTCCTTAGTGTTTGTATCATTTTATATTTTTATCAGCAGTATATGAGAGTTTCTGTTCCTCCATATCCTCATCAACACTTGGGATAATCAGTCTTTTACATTTTAACCATGCTAACGTGTACATCATTATGGTCTATCTTTGTGGCTTTAATTTGCATTTTCCTAATGATTAACGATGTAAACCATTTTTTTAGGTGGATATTTGCCATCTATATTTATTCTCTGGTGAAGAATCTATTGAAATCCTTGCATATTTTTTATTGGTTGGTTGGTTTTCTAATGATTGAGTTTTGAAAGTTCATTATTCTAGATACAAACAACTAATTTTCAATCTTTATTTTTGTTTTACTTCAGGAGACTACCCACAAAGCCAGTATTTTAGTGAGTGGTAAAATTAAGGTAGAAAATGGTCAGATTTATCAAAATCCAGTTACCTGGCTCAAGGATCTCCTAGGAAGTGACAGTTCTGTGACCTGGAATTATGCTTGGAGTAAGGTGGGTCATTCTTATCTTTAACTTTGTATTCAAATGGAAAGGTATATATATTTTTGATGATGGAACTATTTTCTTTTTTAAGAAATTTGAATGATCTCCAAGCTAGTTGTCCTCATGTGCCCCTTCTGTGATATGCTACATGCTTTCTCTTGCAGTTTGAAAATCTATTTGCCGGAATTTCCTATGGGCAGAGTTGCACAGCTATCTGTGCCTCTCCTACCTCACTCCTCACCTAGTCTCAGAAACTGTAATGCTCCAAATCTTCCCCTTTTATCCTCTCAAGTGATTTCAGGGCTTTGTGACTACACATAGAATATACACACCAGTGTATATACAGTTGACCCTTGAACAACACAGGTTTGAACTACACAGGTCCACCTATATTCAGATTTCTTTCAAGATAAGGATCTTGGAGAAATTCAAGAGCTAAGAGATACCACATCAGAGGAATTAGCAGAAGACAACTTGATGGAGATGAGTGCTTTCAAACCAGTGCCAGATGATAAGAAGATGTAGAAGCCCAGTGCCAGGAAACAGATTGACATTAGACAGTCTGGCAGAGGGTTCTAATTATTCAAGACTGTTTTTGACTTCTTTTATGACCTAGACCCTTCTATGATACGTGCATTGAAACAAAGCAGTTGGTAGAAGAAGGATTGGTACCATACAGAAATGTTTGTAGAGAAATGAGAAAGCAAAAGTCAGACAGAAATTACGATGTATTTCCGTAAAGTTAAACTGAGTGTGCCTGCCTCTCCCATATCTTCTCCTACCTCTTCTCACCTTGCCACCCCAAAGCAACACACCCATCCTTCCTCCTCCTCCTCGGCCTATTCAGCGTGGAGATGGCAAGGATGAAGACCTTTATCATGAGCCACTTCCACTTAATGAATAGTAAATAATCATCATGCCATACAGTTAATAAATTTATCTGTTGTGTATGTGTGTGAGTGTCTTCATGTGAAAATCTATTAACTGTATAGCAAGAACTGTAATAATCAACTGTTTATGTTATCAGTAAGGATTCTGGTCAACAGTAGGTGATTAGTAGTTAATTAGGGAGTCAAAAGTTATACATGGATTTCTGACTGCATGGAGGGTCAGCACCCCTAACCCCCATGTCGTTCAAGGGTCAAATACATGTTATTAGTATTCTGATGAAATAAAGCTTAATTTTCCCCTAAAGACAAAAGGAATGGGCCAGGAATCTGAGACCACAGATATTATTGTGCATTTTTATGCTTGAACCTTGTCCCATCTACAAAATGTAGATAAAGTCCAGTGATCATCCACCTCCAGATCTCTGTGACACTGTTTTGGGAACAGCATTATAGTGATTCACTCAGGAAAGTGTGAATCATCAGACATCTGTTACTGTTTCACAGAATGGCAAATACCTTCTACCTCCACTAGCCATAACAGTAAGCCTCAGTCAGTAATGGGAGGCACAGCTTCCTGTCCTGTTTTGTCTCCAGCCCAGCTCTGCCCACCCTTGCTTGAGACTCTGATCTCCGTCTGTGCCCCAAAACTTTGCAGAACATTTTGGCAAGTATTAACATCACTGTTGGGCAGTCTACTTCTGTAGAGATACTGCCTCAGAAACCCAAAGAGGGGTCGTATGAGTCAGGATCAACTTGATGATAGTGAGTTTGGTTTTTGGTTTGGTTTCAGTACGCTTATTTGCATCAGCACAATTGAGATTTTCTCTACTATTTAGTCTCTCTGCCTTTTTTCTTTTTTCCTAAAGTTTTGTATTGTTTGTTGACCACTCCCAGAGTCATCAGGCCATTTGCTTTCAGGTCATCTTTGTCCCTTTCCTCGATCCTTTCCATAGATTCATAATTTATAATTCAATGTTAGTAATTAATGTCTTGTTCATGCAAGTCCCTTTTTATTGCAAGGATTCTTAAGCTTATGGTAGATCATATTGTTTTGCTGAAACGGCATCTCTGCTCACAGCATGAATATGGTTCTGTTTAGTGTAGCACAGAATCTTCTGAGCTCATCGTGCCTGTTCTGCAGTGTGCCTAGTGCTGATGCAATTCTCCCACCTCTTTTCTCTACTGGAACTACTGCCTTTGAATAGCTGACTGTGACATCATTTGGCCCTCACTTTGTACTAATGCCTCATTTACATATCACATTGTCCCTGGTCTTTTCTCATTAGTCATGTCAATTCCAGTCTTACTGTTTAGCACCAATGTGATGGTGAAGCCAAATGCGAGTGTGGGTATTCAAATTCTTGGATATAAGATCATACAGATTATATGAGCAGGTCTTAGATTTTTTTTATAGACTATTCTGAAAATGAAAAGAGTTTTAAAAATTACTGTGGGGCACTTCTAATAAACACCCCAGACTGAGAAACACTGCCCTAGTGAGTTTCTTTATAATATTTAAAAACCTCTTTTAAAGTGTACCACAGAAACCTCTGCCTCTTCTTGTCTTGAGGTAACTTCTGAATTCACAATCAATTCTTCATAAAAGGAGGCTTTTTTTGCTACATTGGTAAATATGAACATTTTACATGACAAGTTCTACGAACAGTGATGAGGATACGAGGCCAAGGGTGGGTGGTTGTCAAGCAAGAAATGCCAGAAAACTAGGACTTGCTCTGCATCAGACAAGAGTCACTAGACAGATGACTCATAACTCCTACTCAAGCAGTTAGGCTGCTGTACAGCTTTACCAAGGGAATCCTGATGCTTAGTCCCAGCAGACATCATAGACTTCGCACTCTGCCATAGCATCCCAGCTGTTAAGGCAGCATCCTGATGTGTAAGTGTGAGCTCTTGGTTTGGGGACAGGAGGCCAATTCTGGTTCCACTCTGGATAAATTACATTATCTGGTCAGCTGCTTGCAATCCTGGACACATGTTAGAATCACTTGGGGAGCTTTAAAAAACTACCATTGCTTGGTGAACTTGAGCCCCATAGATTTTGATGAAGTAGTTTGGGTTAGGGCCAAGAAACAGTATTTTAAAAGGCTTCCCAAATGATTCTAATTGCAACCTGGACTGGGAACCACTGATCTAGATGAAGTCATTTATCCTTCAGAACCTCAGTTTTCTTATATATAAACTAAGGAGTAGTGCTAAATAGTCTGTAAAGACTCTTCCAATATGGAGATTCTTAGACTTGGATGCACTGTGTGGTTTATAAAGCACTTTTCCATATATTCTTTCACAACAACTCCATGAAGTAGGAAGGTTAACCCTGTTGATGGAGATAAAAACAGTTCTGGGAGGTTAAGTGACCTGATTAGTATAATGGCCAGTACGTGACAGAATCAGGACTAAAACCTTACCTTCTAATTTTCCCTATATACTCTTTTCTGCATTTAAAACAATGGTACAAGGGAGGCCAATAATCCTTCACTGGAAACAAAGGTTGCCTGAACTCAAAGAGCATGCAGGCTTTTAGCATCCTTCTCCAGCACCACAACTCAAAAGCATCATCTCTTCTTTGGTCTTCCTTATTCATTGTCCAGTTTTCACATGCATATAAGGTGATTGAAAAGACCATGGCTTGGGTTAGGCGCACCTTAGTCTTCAAGGAGACATCTTAGTTCTTTATCACTTGAAAAAGGTCTTTTGCAGTAGATATGCCCAACTCAGTATATGTCATCTGATGTCTTGACTGTTCCTTCCATTGGTGTTGATTGTGGAACCAAATAATATGAAATCTTTAACAGCTTCAATCTTTTCTCCATTTATTGTGATGCTGTTTGTTGATCCAGTTGTGAGGACTTTCGTTTTCTTTATACTGAGGTGTAATCCATACTGCAGATGGTAGTCTTTAATCTTCATCAGTAAGTGCTTCAAGTCATCCTCACTTTCAGCAAGCAAAGTTGTGTCATCTGTGTATTACAGGCTGTTAATAAGTCTTCCTCCAATCCTGTTGCCACATTCTTCTTCATATAATACAGTTTCTTGGATTATTTGCTCATTATACAAGAGGAATAAGTATGGTGAAAGGGTACAACCTTGACACACTCCCTTCTTGATTTTGAGCCATGCAATAGCCCCTAGTTCTGTTCCAACAACAGCCTCCTGCTCTATGTACTGGTTCCTCATGAGTACAATCAAGTGTTCTGGAATTCCCATTCTTCTCAGTGTTATCCATAATTTGTTATGATCCATACAATCAAATGCTTTTGCATAGTCAACAAAACGTAAGTAAATATCTTTCTGGTATTCTTTGTTTTCAGCTAAGATCCATCTGACATCAGCACTGATATCTGTCATTCCATGTTCCCTTCTGAATCCAGCTTGCATTTCTGGAAGCTCTCTGTCAGTATACTGCTGCAACCATTTTTGAATTATCTTCAGTAAGATTTTACTTGCATGTGATATTAATGATATTGTTTGATGATTTCCACATTCTGTGGGATCACCTTTCTTTGGAATGGGTACAAATATGGATCTCTTCCAGTCAGTTGGCCAGGTAGCTGTCTTCCAAATCTCTTGGCATAATTGAGTGAGTGCCTCCAGTGGGGCATCCATTTGTTGAAACATCTCAGTGGGTATTCCATCAATTCCTGGAGCCTTGTTCTTCACCACTTCCTTCAGTGCAGCTTAGACTTCTTCCTTCAATACCATTGGTTCTTAATTGTAAGCAACCTCCTGAAATGGATGAACATTGACCAGTTCTTTTTGGTACAGTGACTCTGTGTATTTCTTCCATCGTCTTTTGATGTTTCCTGCACCATTCAATGTTTTGCCCATAGAATCCTTCAATATTGCAACTCGAGGTTTAAACTTTTTCCTCAGTTCTTTCAGGTTGTGAAATGCCAAGTATGTTCTTCCCTTTTAGTTTTCTAACTCCAGGTCTTTGCACATTTCATTATAGTAATTGGTTTTGTCTGCTCGAGCTGCTCTTTGAAATCTTCGGTTCAGCTCTTTTGTCTTGTCATTTCTTCCATTTGCTTTAGCTACTCTCTGCTCAAAGGCAAGTTTCAGAGTCTCTTCTTACCTCCATTTTGGTATTTTCTTCCTTTC